TAGAAATATAAATATATGATAAAAAGTTTAGCCAGTAATATAAATATACCAAATGAAACGGTTCTAACAATAAATGAATATATTTAAAAATAAACTTAATTAACTTGACATGTAAATAGTTTATTTTTAAAATAATTAATGATGGTTATTAAAACCCAAGGATCTTGATCAAAAATTGAAAACGAATAAGATTTTAATCAATGAAGTAGAAAAAAATAGAGATATGAACCTAATTTCTCCTTAATTTAACTTAAGTATGAATGATTGCTATTTCAATTTGTATGAAATTTGGGAATACGAAACCATCCTGAAATACCGAAAAAATTTCGAAAATCCTGAAAAATGGAAATACCAAAATTTTAGTTTAGGATTAGTCTTCAAATCTCTTACCAAAAATTTTCGATTTGAGATTCGAAGTCTCATTCTCAATTTGAGATCCCATATCAAACCACCTCTATCCTAATGGAGACTGTCTGATTCTTGGTGACTGAATTTGTAACTTTATGGAACATGGATGACGTTTTGCAGTTGGAATTCAAAGAAACGTAAATTATGGAGTCAAAAAACAAGGAGGAAACTTTCTCTTAAACTCATTACAAGTCAGAAGTAGGTTTTGGAAAATAGACCACCTCTTTTGTCCGCTTGTCCAATTAGTCTTTACGGAAGCTTTAATGAAAAAGATTTTGGGCTAGGTTTATTTTAGAGAGTTTTATATATAGAGGCAATAAAAAACAACTTTATTTAACGAGAAATGCTTAAACTTTAACGAATGGGACTTTTTCTTTTTAAGGGACTTAAATTTTAATGAAGATTTCTTAAATTGAACATTGATATTTTTTAAATTGACTTTTCTGAAACTGAATACGGGTACAACATTATTTCTTAAACTGAATACTGGTGCTACACTATTTCTCAAATTGAACTATGACTATTTTTGAAAACTGAACATTGGTACGATCATTATTTCTTAAACTGAACACTCTATAACTATTTCTTGCACTGAACATTGACTACTTCTTAAACTGAACACAGGTACTGTACTTTCTTAAACTGACTATTTTTTAAACTAAACACTAGCTATTTCTTAAAGATAATGTTAGAGAGATCAAATTTGCAAATTAAATATCATGTTACCAATAACAAATTAAACACGTTAATCGATACTTAATTAATAATTCAATCATTTGTAACTTATATCATTTGATTTGTGAATTTAGTTTAAAAAATTAATCGATACTTAATTATCCATTCTTAAATTGAACACTGATACTACATTATCAGTTGAATATTTCAGCATCCTAATTAAGACTGTCTAATTCTTGATGACTGAATTTGTAACTTTATGGAATATGGATGACGTTTTGCAGTTGGAATTCAAAGAAACATAAATTATGGAGTCAAAAAACAAGGAGGAAACTTTCTCTTAAACTCATTACAAGTCATCAGTTGTAGGTTTTGGAAAATAGACCGCCTCTTTTGTCTACTTGTCCAATTAGTCTTTACGGGAGGTTTAATGAAAAATATTTTGGGCTAGGTTTATTTTAAGGAGCATTATATATAGAGACAATAAAAATGAACTTTATTTAATGAGAAAGGTTTAAACTTTAACGAAAAGGACTTTTTTTTTTGGTTTTTAAGGAACTTAAATTTTAACGAATCTTTCTTAAACTGAACACTGATATTTTTAAACTGATTTTTTCTAAAGCTGAATACGAGTACTATATTATTTCTTAAACTGAATGCAGATAGTATATTATTTCTTAAACTAAACAATGACTATTTCTGAAAACTGAACATTGGTACTATCATTATTTATTAAACTGAACACTGACTATTTCTTAAACTGAACACGGGTACTACACTTTCTTAAATTGAATATTTTTTAAACCAAACATTGACTATTTCTTAAGGATAATGAGACCATATTTGCAAACCAAATACCGTGTCACCAATAAAAAAAAAAGTAAGTTAATCGATATTTAATTAATAATCTAATTATTTGTAACTTACATCATTTGGTTTGTGAATTTAGTTTAAAAAATTTAGTCTCCCTAACATTATCTATTCTTAAAGAGTAATGTTATTCATACCATGTTTTTATACCACATTTCTATACCACCTTAGGTGGCATCTGATGTGGACAACCACATCATTTGAAAAATTTGCAAAACCCAAGGAAATGAAGGAGAAAGACTTCTCGTATACCATAATCATCATTTAGTTAATTAGTTTTTCTTAATTATTAGTTTATTAAATAATGAACTAAATTTAAAAATCTAATCAATTCAAATGATGTGGTTGTACACATCAAATGGCATCTAAAGTGATATGAAAATATGGTACAAAAACATGCCATAAATTGAACACTGGTACTACATTATTTTTTATACTGACAATTTTTAAAGCTAAACACGAACATTACTGAAACCAAATACATGTTGACATGCGCTTTGGACATGTTTTTTTATTAGGTTTTGATCCCGACCTATCTCTCGTACTTCGAAATAAGGCCTTTAACTTATTCTAATTGACAATGTCGCTCATCTCTGAGTTCTCTATCATGAAATAATTACTCCATTATTTCTCCTCACTTGATCACTTGAGCTAACCCTGAAAGTTTTTATTCTTATTCACTTTTGTGGTAGGATTCATGCACTTTGGATTGACGAAGACTCATTATATATAGTAAACCCACGAATCTACTAATATGAATTTTGGTAGGTCTTAGTCTTAATTGAGATTATTGCTATGGTGAAATTATATGTTCTCAAGTTGAAGTTCATGCCCCCTAACACAACAAGTTTTCTTGTTTTCTCATCGATCTGGAAAATGAAATGCGAATTTAGAACCTGTTTTATGATAAATAAGAGAAATATTAACAGACTGATAGTTCGCAAGTAATTTTCTACCAAAAAAAAATCCGAGGAGATTCTAAAGATTTCGTAATCTGGACTATCTATCATATCATCCATTTCCTTTTCTACCTGTCCTTGCTTCATCGTGTTCTTTGGTTTGGTTCATTTTTCCAAGTGTAGGTTGACCTTGACTTAGTGGAGTTACGACTTTGTCACCTTACCAAGTCCTTCCTTTTAAATTGGGGGAGATAGATTGTCTGTCCTCTTATTTTTATACTTTTTTCATGCTCTTCTTTTTGGATAGTTACGGTTAAGTTCTGTTAATATTTTATATTCTTATTATTTTTTGTTTTATTATTTTTATAAAAAATTAATATAAAATATTAAAATGGCTTAATCATGATCACACATTACAGAAAGGTATGAGTAGAATATAAAAATGAAAAGACACACCATCCACCTCATTAAATTGGTCCCCCTCTACCAATTAAAAGCTAACTAACTGTCAACATCGTCTTATCGTCATGACTCACGAGACAGGCTTGGAAGTCTTGCAATGCTTATTTTCCAAGTCAATGAAGGCTCACAACAATTGATTGGATAAAAAATGATAAACAAACGTAAACGTAAAATATAATTTTGATCGTAAATTGAAATAATTTGGTCATAATTTTGATTTATTTCTTCTTTTTATGACAATTTTTACGTCCGCTAATATGTTGCAACGAAGAACATGAGAAGGATATGAATTGAAAAGTTAAAAGAACTTTTCAAGGATTTATAAAGAGTTGGATCTTCATTGCTAAATGGATTCATAAATCAGGGTGATGCTTCAACTTTATTTCTGGTATTATTGTAGGAAAGGTTACATCGAGAAGACTTTTGAGCAACTAAATTGACAGAAATCGGAAAGCCAGCTGTTTGGCCTCGAGTATCCTAATAAACTACACTAGAAATAGCAAACTGGCCCACACTAGCAAGAAATTTATAGTTATATGTTTTTATGTAAATGGTAAAAAATTTTAATTTTTAAGTTATTAACCTTTTAACACACACAAAAAAATAGGGACGTCCTCCTGACAGTTAGATTTGACTTTAATGAAATTTTATGGGTGAGATTTTGTGGCCTGTAATTTAATCTCAATCACAGAATTTCATTAAAGTCAAATCTAACGGTCAAGAGGGGTATTCCCATTTTTTTTTTGAAAAATAGGGATCCTTTCCCTTAAAGGGTCTGTTCCACTAGGAAGCCTTTAAGGGAATGGATCTCCATTTAAAAAAAAAATGGGGACGTCTTCCTGACAGTTAGATTTGACTTTAATGAAATGCTATGGTTGAGATTTTGTGGCTTATGATTTAATCTTAACCACAAAATTTCATTAAAGTCAAATCTAACGGTCAAGAAAGGTATTCCCATTTTTTTTTTGAAAAATGGGGATCCCTTCCCTTAAAGGGTCTGTTCCACTAGGAAGCCTTTAAGGGAATGCATCCCATTTTTCAAAAAAAAAAAAAAGGGACGTCCTCTTGACAGTTAGATTTGACTTTAATGAAATTATATGGTTGAAATTAAGTGGCATGTGATTTAATCTCAACCACAAAATTTCATTAAAGTCAAATCTAACGGTTAAGAGGGGTATCCCCATTTGTTTTGAAAAATGGGAATCCCTTCCCTTAAGGGCATGTTCCACTGGAAGCTTTTAAGGGAAGGGATTCCCATTTTTCAAAAAAAAAAAAAAAAGGGACGTCCTCCTGACAATTAGATTTGACTTTAATGAAATCTTATGATTGAAATTTTGTGGCTTGTGATTTAATCTCAACCACATAATTTCATTAAAGTTAAATCTAACGGTCAAGAAGGGTATCCCATTCTATTTGAAAAATGGGAATCCCTTCCCTTAAAAAGCCTGTATTCCACTATTTATATAAGGACACATAAAATATCATCTCGTGTGACGGTCACATTTAGCTTCCACCACTAGAGAACTATCCCAATGCTAATGGTTGACCTGGTACACATTAGTCCTACGTAGAAATATCTTCACACCATTTCCACATCGATCATATATACCAATCGCATCCCCTTTCGTTCTTGTTCCTCATCGTCTTTCTCCAAATCCACTCATTTAGTCCATGACCAAAGAATCCATGGCTGTCTTTCTCATGTTCTTCTTTCTTTTCTTCGCCACCTCTTCTGCAGCCTCTTCTAAATTCGATCTCCAAAAAGCTTACCCTGATCACTGTGCTTCATTTGTTCCCCAGTCTTCCCCGAAAGGAGACGCGCAAGGACCGCCAGACCAAAACTACCACACAGGTTACTACACCCGTGGCGGTGGCAGTGGCGTTCTTAGTCCTAGCCCATTGTATTATCCTAACGACAACTCTGTTCAATTCGTTATCCAGAGCATTGGAGAAACTGATGTTCAAGGCCTGATCAAGCTTCAAGGGAGTTTGATATTTCCGAGAGATGCGTTTTACTTTGTGGGAAGTACTTCCACCACAAGTAGCGGGTCCTCATCTCGATCAGTTCTTCGTCCAAGAAGTTCAATACGTGTTACACTTGGTGGGTTCTGGTCACAATCTTCCGGGAAGCTTTGTATGGTTGGTTCGGGTTATGATTACTTGGAAGGACGAAGTTATTTGCATCACATTCATTCTGTTCTTAAGCTCCACAATTTCACGAACTCCGCTAATGTCACAAGTTTGATTAGCGGAACCTTGGAGAGCATGACCAGTTCCGAGAATGATGCAGATTATTTCGAACCAATCTCTATTTTGATGCTTCCTAGCATGAACTACCAGTACACCCTGATTTCAAATAAATCCGAGGCCATCAGTGCTTCTGGTGGAGCTGATGGTTCCAATCCCACAAGTTCCTTGAATATAAAGAGATTTTGTTCTGTACTCTCAAGGGAAGTGCGATACCATGCATTTGATCTCAAATACTAAAGCCGTTGCGTATCTGCGAAAAACTGCACTCCAGTTGCTGCGTCTAGTTTTCCTCGGTTTATGTTCTTGAAGCTTATTGAATGTTCGGAGAATACACAAAGGTTGAGAGTCCTGGTGGAATTTGAAGACAGCAGCAACTTCTGGTATCGAAGGTTCGATCCCAATACAACACTGGCTGGGGAAGGTTCATGGGATGCAGAGAAAAATCAGCTGTCTTTGGTTGCATGTCGATTCTTGGTTGCAGCAGGCTCTTGGAACAATACTAGCGTCGGTGATTGTTCAACAAGATTGAGCTTGCGATTTCCAGCTGTATGGACAATCGGAAACAGTAGTAGCATGGTGGGGAAGATTTGGAGCAACAAAACTGTGACGGAGTCAGGTTACTTTGAAAAGATCACGTTCGAAAGTCTTGGGGATGACATTGGAAGGATTCTGATTCCAGGCGCGAAGTATAAGTACACGAAAATCAACACCGTAAACAAGTTGTGCCCGAAAAAGGAGACTGCTCGTGGCAAGACCAATGTGTACGCGGATCCGTTTTCTTATGAAATGAGATTTGATGTGTCAGCTAAGAATTCTGAAGGACAAGTTGCATGGGGCAGTTCTGTTCCGATTTCTGTTGGGGATCAATTTTATCAGGCGAATCGGTATTCGATTGCAAGCGCTGAAGATGAAGATGAATCTACAGCTCCTGAGAGATACAGCCTCAACCACAGCAGAGCGTACAATATTAGCTACAAAATAAGCATCGACTGGCTACCTGATGCAAAGTTTGGAAATACATCAGTTTTAAACGAAATGCAGATCTTTGCCGAAGGGATCTATGATGAAACCGATGGCAGCCTGTGCATGGTAGGCTGCAGAAAACTGGCCTCAAAGGGTAAGCAGCCAACAGATGATTCTGTAGATTGCGAGATTGCAGTCAACTTTCAGTTCCCTACAACAAACCCAACCAAGAGTTCGGGTCTCATCAAGGGCAGCGTAAAAAGCACACGAAAAAAGTCCGACCCTCTTCATTTTGAAACTTGGGATTTAACCTCAGCTTCCGTCACCCTCTTCGAAGAAAGGCGGTCCATTTGGAGGATGGATGTGGAGATCATATTGGTTCTTATATCCACCACGCTGGCATGCTTCTTTGTGGTGCGACAACTCTTCCATGTGAAGAAGTATCCAGATGTTCTTCCCTCCATTTCCATTTTCATGCTACTAATTCTAACTCTTGGCTACATGATACCCCTTATGCTAAACTTCGAAGCCATGTTCATGAATAGCACCAACCGCGAAAACGTGTTCCTTGGAACCGGAGGATGGCTTAAAGTAAATGAGGTAATTGTGAGGGTGATAACAATGGTAGCGTTCCTGCTGCAATTCCGTCTTCTGCAGCTAACTTGGTCAGCAAGATCAAAAAATGAAAATCGCAATGAGCTCTGGCTCATGGAGAAGAAGACTCTCTTTGTGGCCTTACTACTATATGTTGCAGGGGCTTTCGCCATTTTTCTTCTGCATAATCAGATTTGGAAGAAGAGCAACTACGCCGAGCGCTCAATTTTAAGCATTGCCTTCAAATCTTACTCTGGTTTGGTTATGGACGGTTTTTTGCTGCCTCAAATTGTGCTCAACATGTTCTGCAAGTCAAAGGAAAATGCTCTATCCATTTCGTTCTACGTAGGAACGACTTTTGTTCGAGCGCTGCCACATGCATACGATCTTTACAGGGCTCACAACTTTGCTCATCCCCAATTCAACGAGTCGTACCTGTATGCAAGCCCTGCAGCAGATTTTTACTCCACTTCTTGGGATGTCATAATTCCTTTTGGAGGTTTAGTGTTTGCTGGTGTCATTTTCTTGCAGCAGAAGTTTGGGGGTCGTTGCTTTCTCCCCAAAAAGTTGATAGAGTTGGGTGAATATGAAAAGGTCCCTACTGTTACCATAGGGTAATTTAATCTTCTCACGTCTGTACTTTTGAGTATGTTATCATGTTTTAGTGTTTTTTTTACTTTTTTTCCTTATCTTTCTTTCTGTTTGTAATATGTTGAACTTGTAAGCTATAATGTGTGCATTTTCATTTTTCTTTTCTATAATATTAGAAAACAATATTTGCTTCGTCACAGGTTTTTGATCATGTTTGCGCACACATTCTAGAGATTTTCGATAAGAAAACAAAAACAAAACTAGCGAGAAAAACGTGAAAGACATGGAGAAAGAGAGAAGCGCAAGTTTAGAGGTGCTTAGAATAAATTTTGGATGCGAGACATCTGCAGAATCGTTGCAGAACCAGCAGCATTCCACGGAGTTCTTTGCATCCTTTCTAAATAGTGTTCATTTTTGTCACCTTATTTTTCTTTTACAAAGTGGTATTCTAATATACTCTAGTTAACGGGGAAGAGATTCAAACCAACTGATCTAAAACCTACACATGCAGATTTGATGCAATTTTAGACAACACAAAAGTTCCTATAAATAATCATCAAAACTGTCCGTAACCAAAAAGATTGAGTGAAGGAGCTTGTAACTTCATTGGTTAAGAACTTTCTTCCTGCACCGAGCTCTTTGTGTTCGTCTCCGCCAAAATGCAACCCTTTTACTCAGAACCCTCCAAGCATGGCCAAAGGCTCTAGTTTCATTGACATGGGCACACGTCCTCACCCCTCAGGTTGCTTCCTACAAAGTTCAATTCAGTTGGGCCTAATAATTGGTATCTAACCTTTTTTGACAAAGCAATATTCTAAGAGCTCATTCAATAACCACTTTGTTTTTCGTTTGTAGTTTTCAATATACGAAAACGTAAAAAAGTATAAGGAGAAAACGAAAGGGACTTTTTGTTTTTTGTTTTTAAGAAGCATTATATATAGAGACAATAAAAATCAACTTTATTTAATGAGAAGATTTAAACTTTAACGAAAGGGACTTTTTATTTTTAGTTTTTAAGGGACTTAAATTTTAACAATCTTTCTTAAACTGAACACAGATATTTTTTAAACTGACTTTTTCTAAAACTGAATATGAGTACTACATTATTTCTTAAACTGAATGCGGATACTATACTATTTCTTAAACTAAACAATGACTATTTCTAAAAACTGAACATTGGTACCATCATTATTTATTAAACTCAACACTCTATAACTATTTCTTGCATTGAATACTGACTATTTCTTAAACTGAACACAAGTACTACACTTTCTTAAATTGACTATTTTTTAAACTAAACATTGACTATTTCTTAAGGATAATGAGACCATATTTGCATACCAAATACCGTGTCACCAATAAAAAAATAAGCAAGTTAATCGATACTTAATTAATAATCTAATCATTTGTAACTTACATCATTTGGTTTGTGAATTTAGTTTAAAGAGTAATTCTATTCATACCATATTTTTATACCACATTTCTATACCACTTTAAGTGACATATGATATGGACGACCACATCATTTGAAAAATTTGCAAAACCCAAGGAAATGAAGGAGAAGGACTTCTCGTATACCACAATTATCATTTAATTAACTAGTTTTTCTTAATTATTAGTTTATTAAATAATGAATTAAATTTAAAAATCTAATTATTTTAAATGATATAGCTGTCCACATCAAATATCACCTAAGATGGTATGAAAATATTGTACAAAAACATGGTACAAATTAAACATTGGTACTACATTATTCTTATACTGACAGTTTTTAAAAGTGACCACGAATATTAATTCTGAAACCAAATACGTGTTGGCATGCACTTTGGACTTGTTTTTTTATTGGGTTTTGATCCCGACCTATATCTCTTACTTCGAAATAATGCCTTTAACTTATTCTAATTGATTGTGCCGCTCATCTTTGAGTTCTCTACAGTGAAATGATTACTCCATTATTTCTCCTCACTTGATCACTTGAGCTAACCCTGAAAGTTTTTATTCTTATTCACTTTTGTGGTGGGATACATGCACTTTAGATTGACGAAGACTCAGTATATATAGTAAACCCACGAATCTATTAATATGAATTTTGGTAGGTCTTAGTCTTAATTAAGATTATTGCCATGGTGAAATTATATGTTCTCAAGTTGAAGTTCATGCTCCCTGTGAATTATGATGACAAATGGGGTGTGCACAACACAACAAGTTTTCTTGTTTTCTCATCGATCTGGAAAATGAAAAGCGAATTTAGAACCTGTTTTGTGATAAATAAGAGAAGTATTAGTGGACTGATAACTCGCAAGTAATTTTCTACCAATCCGATCTTAAAAATCCTAAAGATTCCGTAATCTAAACTATCCATCATATATCTTACGATCATCCGTATCATTTTCCTCCTGTTCTTGCTTTATTTTGTTCTTTGGTTTGGTTCATTTTTCCAAGTGTAGGTTGACCTTGACTTAGTGGAGTTATGGCTTTGTCTCCTTGCCGAGTCCTTCCTTTTAAATTGGTCCCTCTCTACCAATTAAAAGCTAAATGTCAACATCGTCTTATCGTCATGACTCATGAGACAGACTGGGAAGTCTTGCAATGCTACATTTTCCAAGTCAATGAAGGCTAACAACAATTGATTGGACAAAAAATGATAAACAAACGTCAACGTAAAATATAATTTTGATCGCAAATTCAAATAATTTGGTCATAATTTTGATTTATTTCTTCTTTTTTATGACAATTTTTTCGTCAGCTAATATGTTATGACAAGTTAAAAGACTTTTGCAAGGATTTATAAAGAGTTGGATCTTCATTGCTAAATGGTTTCATAGATCAGGGTGATGCTTCAACCTTATTTCTGGTATTATTGTAGGAAAGGTTACAACGAGAAGACTTTTGGGCAACTAAATTGACAGAAATCGAAAAGCCAGCTGTTTGGCCTCGAGTTTCCCAACAAACTACATTAGAAACAGCAAACTGACCCATACTGGCAAGAAATTTTTAGTTGTGATAGGAATATGAATGATATATTACGTGTTTTTATGTAAATGGTGAAAAATTTTAGTTTTTAAGTTATTAACCTTTTAACACACATATTCCACTATTTATATAAGAACACATAATGTACCATCACATTAGTCCTACTAGTAATATCTTCACACTATTTCCACATCGATCAGATATACCAATCGCATCCCCTTTCGTTCTTGTTCCTCATCGTCTTTCTCCAAATCCACTCATTTAGTCCATGACCAAAGAATCCATGGCTGTCTTTATTATGTTCTTCTTTCTTTTCTTCGCCACCTCTTCTGCAGCCTCTTCTAAATTCGATCTCCATACAGCTTACCCTGATCACTGTGCCTCATTTGTTCCCCAGTCTTCCCCGAAAGGAGACGCGCAAGGACCGCCCGACCAACACTACCACACAGGTTACTACACCCGTGGCGGTGGCAGTGGAGTTCTTAGTCCTAGCCCATTGTATTATCCTAACGAAAACTCTGTTCAATTCGTTATCCAGAGCATTGGAGAAACTGATGTTCAAGGCCTGATCAAGCTTCAAGGGAGTTTGATATTTCCGAGAGATGCGTTTTACTTTGTGGGAAGTACTTACACCACAAGTAACGGGTCCTCATCTCGATCAGTTCTTCGTCCAAGAAGATCAATACGTGTTACACTTGGTGGGTTCTGGTCACAATCTTCCGGGAAGCTTTGTATGGTTGGTTCGGGTTATGATTACTTGGAAGGACGAAGTTATTTGCATCACATTCATTCTGTTCTTAAGCTCCACAATTTCACGAACTCCGCTAATGTCACAAGTTTGATTAGCGGAACCTTGGAGAGCATGACCAGTTCGGAGAATGATGCAGATTATTTCGAACCAATCTCTATTTTGATGCTTCCTAGCATGAACTACCAGTACACTCTGATTTCAAATAAATCCGAGACCATCAGTAATTCTGGTGGAACAGATAGTTCCAATCCCACAAGTTCCTTGAATATAAAGAGATTTTGTTCTGTACTCTCAAGGGAAGTGCGATACCATGCATTTGATCTCAAATACTCAAGCCGTTGCGTATCTGCGAAAAACTGCACCCCAGTTGCTGCGTCTAGTTTTCCTCGGTTTATGTTCTTGAAGCTTATTGAATGTTCGGAGAACACACGAAGGTTGAAAGTCCTGATGGAATTTGAAGACAGCAGCAACTTCTGGTATCGAAGGTTCGATCCCAATACAACACTGGCTGGGGAAGGCTCATGGGATGCAGAGACAAATCAGCTGTCTTTTGTTGCATGTCGATTCTTGGTTGCGGCAGGCTCTTGGAACAATACTAGCGTCGGTGATTGTTCAACAAGATTGAGCTTGCGATTTCCAGCTGTATGGACAATCGGAAACAGTAGTAGCATGGTGGGGAAGATTTGGAGCAACAAAACTGTGACAGAGTTGGGTTACTTCGAAAAGATCACGTTCGAAAGTCTTGAGGATGGCAATGGAAGGATTTCGATTCCAGGCGCGAAGTATGAGTACACGAAAATCAACACCGTAAACAAGTTGTGCCCGAAAAAGGAGACCGCTCGTGGCAAGACCAATGTGTACGCGGATCCGTTTTCTTATGAAATGAGATTTGGTATGTCAGCTAAGAATTCTGAAGGACAAGTTGCATGGGGCGGTTCCGTCCCGATTTCTGTTGGGGATCAATTTCATCAGGCGTATCGGTATTCGATTGCAAGCGCTGAAGATGAAGATGAATCTACCGCTCCTGAGAGATACAGCTACAACCACAGCAAAGCGTACAATATTAGCTACAAAATAAGCATCGACCGGCTATCTGATGCAAAGTTTGGAAATACATCAGTTTTAAACGAAATGCAGATCTTTGCCGAAGGGATCTATGATGAAACCGAAGGCAGCCTGTGCATGGTAGGCTGCAGAATACTGGCCTCAAAGGGTCAGCAGCCAACAAATGATTCTGTAGATTGCGAAATTGCTGTCAATTTTCTGTTCCCTTCAACAAATCCAACCAAGAATTCGGGTTTCATCAAGGGCAGCATAAAAAGCACACGAAAAAAGTCCGACCCTCTTCATTTTGAAACTTGGGATTTAACCTCAACTTCGGCCACCCTCTTCGAAGAAAGGCGGTCCATTTGGAGGATGGATGTGGAGATCATATTGGTTTTTATATCCACCACGCTGACGTGTTTCTTTGTGGCGCGACAACTCTTCCATGTGAAAAAGTATCCAGATGTTCTTCCCTCCATTTCCATTTTCATGCTACTAATTCTAAGTCTTGGCTACATGATACCACTTATGCTAAACTTCGAAGCCATATTCATGAGTAGCACCAACCGCCAAAATGTGTTCCTTGGAACCGGAGGATGGCTTGAAGTTAATGAGGTAATTGTGAGGGTGATAACAATGGTACTGGTAGCTTTCTCGCTGCAAATCCATCTTCTGCAGCTAACTTGGTCAGCAAGATCAAAAAATGGAAATCGCAACAAGCTCTGGCTCATGGAGAAAAAGACTCACTTTGTGGTCTTACTACTATATGTTGGAGGGGCTTTCGCCATTTTGCTTCTCCATAAACAGATTTGGAAGAAGGGCAACTACGCCGAGCGCTCAATTTTAAGCATTGCCTTCAAATCTTACTCCGGTTTGGTTATGGACGGTTTTTTGCTGCCTCAAATTGTGCTCAACATGTTCTGCAAGTCAAAGGAAAATGCTCTATCCATTTCGTTCTACGTAGGAATGACTTTTGTTCGAGCGCTGCCACATGCATACGATCTTTACAGGGCTCACAACTTTGCTCATCCCCAATTCAACGAGTCGTACCTGTATGCAAGCCCTGCAGCAGATTTTTACTCCACTTCTTGGGATGTCATAATTCCTTTTGGGGGTTTAGTGTTTGCTGGTGTCATTTTCTTGCAGCAGAAGTTTGGGGGTCGTTGCTTTCTCCCCAAAAAGTTGATAGAGTTGGGTGAATATGAAAAGGTCCCTACTGTTAGCATAGGGTAATTTAATCTTCTCTCGTCTGTACTTTTGAGTATGTTATCATGTTTTAGTGTTTTTTTACTTTTTTTCCTTATCTTTCTTTCTGTTTGTAATATGTTGAACTTGTAAGCTATAATGTGTGCATTTTCATTTTTCTTTTCTATAATATTAGAAAACAATATTTGCTTCGTCACAGGTTTTTGATCATGTTTGCGCACACATTCTAGAGATTTTCGATAAGAAAACGAAAACAAAACTAGCGAGAAAAACGTGAAAGACATGGAGAAAGAGAGAAGCGCAAGTTTAGAGGTGCTTAGAATAAATTTTTGATGCGAGACGTCTGCAGAATAGTTGCAGAACCAGCAGAATTCCACAGAGTTTTTTGCATCCTTTCTGAATAGTGTTCATTTTTGTCACTTTATTTTTCTTTTACAAAGCGGTATTCTAATATACTCTATTTAACGGGGAAGAGATTGAAATCAACTGATCTCAAACCTACACATGCAGATTTGATGCAATTTTAGACAACACAAACGTTCCTATAAATAATCATCAAAACTGTCCGTAACCAAAAAGATTGAGTGAAGGAGCTTGTAACTTCATTGGTTAAGAACTTTCTTCCTGCACCGAGCTCTTTGTGTTCGTCTCCGCCTCAATGCAACCCTTTTACTCAGAACCCTCCGAGCATGGCCAAAGGCTCTAGTTTCATTGACATGGGCACACGTCCTCACCCCTCAGATTGCTTCCTACAAAGTTCAGTTCACTTAGGCCTAATAATTGGTATCTAACCTTTTTGACAAAGCAATATTCTAAGGGTTCATTCGATAACCACTTCATTTTTCGTTTATAGTTTTCAATATAAGAAAACGTAGAAAAGTATAAGGAGAAAACGAAAGGGACTTTTTGTTTTTTTGTTTTTAAGGAGCATTATATATAGAGACAATAAAAATCAACTTTATTTAATGAGAAAGATTTAAATTTTAACGAAAGGGACTTTTTGTTTTTTTATTTTTAAGGGACTTAAATTTTAACAATCTTTCTTAAATTGAACACAAATATTTTTTAAACTGACTTTTTCTAAAACTGAATATGAGTACTACATTATTTCTTAAACTGAATGTGGATACTATACTATTTCTTAAACTAAACAATGGCTATTTCTGAAAACTGAACATTGATACCATCATTATTTATTAAACTCAACACTCTATAACTATTTCTTGCACTGAACACTGACTATTTCTTAAACTGAACACAGGTACTACACTTTCTTAAATTAAATATTTTTTAAACTAAACATTGACTATTTCTTAAGGACAATGAGACCATATTTGCATACCAAATACCGTGTCACCAATAAAAAAATAAGCAAGTTAATCGATACTTAATTAATAATCTAATCATTTGTAACTTACATCATTTGGTTTGTGAATTTAGTTTAAAGAGTAATGCTATTCATACCATATTTTTATACCACATTTCTATACCACCTTAGGTGGCATCTGATATGGACAACCATATCATTTGAAAAATTTGCAAAACCCAAGAAAATGAAGGAGAAAGACTTCTCGTATACCACAATTATCATTTAATTAACTAGTTTTTCTTAATTATTAGTTTATTAAATAATGAATTAAATTTAAAAATCTAATTAATTCTAATGATGTAGCTGTCCACGGTATTTTGAACCAATCTCAATTTTGTGATTTACACGCACATATAGATAGAACAAAGGTGAGCGAGAGAATGGAGGATTTTATGCAAGGGTTAAAGCGTAGGGGTAAGGAAAGGGTAAGGACGCATAATCAATTTGACTGCACGTGTAATTCATAAATTGATATTGTCTGAATGAGTTTTGGCAAGTATATGTACTTAATGACTAAGTGTTTCTAAATATTAAACTAATGGAATTTGGATGCCATCGTTTCTATTTATGATACATATAACTAAAATTCATCGGTTTTGGTTCAAGTATCATGTAGAGAATTTCTTGCTAATTGAACATGTTTGTTTTTGAGTTTTTGGATATAAAATTTACTATAAAAGGCTATGTCTCTTTAAAATTTTGACCATTATTTTTCTAATCAAACTAGAGAACTTTGATTGTTCTATTCTACATGACCTAAATTTTTCATATTGTTGAATTATTTATACTATTAAGGATGATTAATATGATTATCATCAAAATTATGGTATGTTTTATTGTTTGTCCCATTTGTATGTAAATTCAGCGAATTTGAGAAATTTTCGGCTCTGTGAATTCAATGAATTGCCTAGATGGACTCATAATTAATGCAGTAATAGTTGATTTCATTTTGGAAAAACTGTTGTTGGCCAAAGACAGGTTATGATGTCCCATTTTGTATGAACTATATGTCAATGATGATAGATTGTAAGGTAATTGAGGTTTCTGCAAACAATAACTATTAATATGAAAGGATGAACCGATGCCGGGTGTACTGTTAATTATGTATAAGACATTCTTTCTGTGATGTTGGAACCCACAATTGGGATGCATTTAAACTTAAAGTATTATATATATGGGTGATTTTGTTCTTTTTCGTTTCTTTCATATGGACGCCTACACGCAAAACATTATGGTCGAGTTTCTTAAACTATGATTTATATTTTTTGCTGTAGTGCGGAAGATATCCAATCTAAAAAAAAATGAACAATGCAATCTCTGTAATCGACTGCTGCAGGCAGTTCTACATCTTTTTGGCTATCAACATTTTTGCTTCAACAACTATGTGTTTTTTGCACATTCGTGCTTGGAAACTTAGATGCTAGAATAAAAACAAAACAGTTTTTATGTTTTTTGTCAACTACAACATGTAGCTAACCCAGAAGATATATATTTTATCACCTTGACTACAAGGGCAACATTTCTCTAAACTATATGTTACTTTTATTTCTTCTATTTATTAGGGAACCAAAATGTTCTGTTTCGTCCTGTTAATTATACAATACAATACAGTTCAAGGTGATGCATTCAAGTCCCGCAGCATTGCGCGAACATTTTTTCTAGTGATAAACAAAAGTAAAAGTAAAATATAATTTGATCGTAAATTGAAATAATTTGGTCATAATTTTGATTTATTTCTTCTTTTTTATGACAATTTTTTCATCAGCTAATATGTTGCAACGAAGAACAAGAGAAGGATATGAATCGAAAAGTTAAAGAACTTTGCAAGGATTTATAAAGAGTTGGATCTTCATTGCTAAATGGTTTCGTTATTCATAGATCAGGGTGATGCTTCAACTTTGTAGGAAAGGTTAAAACGAGAAGACTTTTGAGCAACTAAATTGACAGAAATCGGAAAGCCAGTTGTTTGGCCTCGAGTTTCCCAACAAGCTACACTAGAAATAGCAAACTGGCCCACACTAGCAAGAAATTTTTAGTTGTGACAGGAATATGAATGATACATCACGTATTTTTATGTAAATGGTGGAAAATTTTAATTTTTAAGTTATTAACCTTTTAACACACACAAATCATTATGCACGTATCAATGTGACTGATATACGGAGTGGTATAACACGTATCATTATACAAATGATCCGTATACCACGTATTATTATACAAATGATGAGATATGTGTGTTAAAATATTAATAACTTAAAAAATAAAATTTCCTACCATATATATAAAACACGTGGTATACCTGTGTTCCAGTCACAATAAAAAATTTCTCCTCTAAAAAACTAAGAAACAGAGCATTAACAAATACACACGCACAAATCTCAAAGGAAATTGGTAAGCATAATCCAGTTAAATAATTAGAAAACCAGAGAGTAAAGTTCTGAAACTCAAAAGACTCCGAACAAAACCTTGAGTGCATGCATTGTTTTTTTAACCGAATCTTGAAACGAAAGAGAAAAGCACAGAACCCAGTTAAGGAAAAACCTTAAGAGAATCATGTTAGGGCCCACCAGGCCAAAATATGGTTCTAACCCCTAAGCTCATAAGCCCTAGATGTCAGAAACTGTTATTTGCACACCAAAACTAGTTCCATGTCGTCTTTCATTTCATGGTCGAAACTATTCGGAGCATAAGAATCTTGTTTTGGCATGCATTTATCATTTCCTCAATTTTCAACTTCTTTGTCCTTTTTGTCCTCTTAGGTATTCACAAAAGCAAAATGTAGCTTTGATTTCACAGTCCTCGGTTTGGCTTGTTCTGGTTGTCTGTTAAAACAAAGTAATCAGCTCCTTTCTCTCTTTGAAATTGTCACGACAACGAATTTGATATATAATCCGTATTTTGCAGTAGAATACAGACTATGGAAAGTGCATAAAACAATCGAAACATTGCAGCACTTTCACATTGAATTTCTTTTCGTTCTTCTTGTTCATCTTTCTCCCAATGATCATGAAGAAGAAACACCTGTCTTCTGCTACCACCTCTTTGAAGATGTGGTACTCATTGCCAAAGCTTCTCATGTTCTTCTTTGTTTTTGCCGCCCTTTCTTTTCCCTCCATTTCATCGTCTTACCCACCACCTTCTAATCAGTTCTCTTATCCAGTTTCATCGGCTTCTCCACCTTATGATCAAAGCTCTTATTCTGATCACTGTGACTCAATTGTTCGCTGGTCAAAACCAAGAATATATGTAGGTTCTCAAATCCTCAACCGCCATACAGGTTACTACACTGGTGGAAGTGGAATTCTTAGTCAAAAATCATCATTTCTGCCTTTTCATGAGCCCGAAGATTCAATTCAGTTCAACTTCTGGAGTGTTCAAACAACTTATGTACCAGGCTTGTTCACGATTGAAGGAAGTCTTCTATTTCCAAGAAGCAGTGTGTCTTACTATGTGGGAAATGTCTCAAAAAGTCATCGACCAAGTTCGGTAAGCTTTAAACTAAGTGGATTCTGGTCAGAATCTTCTGGGAAGATTTGCATGGTTGGATCAAGTTCTAATTACTTGGGACATGGTCGTTGGCTTTATTATCCTGCTGTTCTTAAGCTTTATAATGTCATGAATTCCACTAATGTTACTAGTTTGATTAGTGGAACCTTAGAGAGCTCGATGAAATTTAAGAGCAATCCACAGTATTTTGAACCAGTCTCAATTTTGATAATTCCTCGTATAAATTATGAGTACTCTTTGGTGTCAAATAAATCTGATAACAGTTGTTCTGGTGGAAGAAATATTCACCTGAGTTCTTTGCCGATAGAGCCAGTTTGTTCAGTACTTTCAAGAGTAAGAAGACATGAGTTTGAGCTCAAATACTCAAGTCATTGCCTTTCTGCAAAGAACTGCTCTCCGGTTGCTGCTTCTGATTTACCTCGCATTGTGTCGTTGAAGGCTATTGAGTGTTCGGAGAACACAAAAAGGATGAGAGTTCAAGTCGAATTTGGAGACAGTAGCAATCCCTGGTACCGGAGGCCCTTTTATCCCAATACAACATTGGTTGGGGAAGCGTCATGGGATGCAAAGAACAATCAGCTATGTGTTGTTGCTTGTCGAATCTTGAATGCAACAGATTCTATCACTAATAGTACTCATGTGGACGATTGTTCAACAAGATTGAGCTTGAGGTTTCCTGCAATATGGACGATCGGAAAGACAAGTAGCACTGTGGGCCATATTTGGAGCAACAAAAATGCGACAGAGTTGGGTTACTTTGAAAGCATCACATTTGAAAGTCCTCAGAATTATATTGGAAGGTTTCTACCTCCAGGCTTGAAATATGAGTATACTAAACTTGACAAAGTAACCAAGATGTGCCCGAGAAAGAAGGCTGCTCATCGCAAGACCTACAAATATCCAAAACCGCTTTCTTATGACATGCGATTTGGCATGCAAGTCAAATACGAAGGGGAGGTTGCATGGGGCAGTGCCGCTCCTGTCTCCATCGGAAACAGGTTTTACCATCGTTATGGATATTTAAATGGTGCAAGCAGGGAACGCTTTGTACCTCCTGTGAGCTACAGCTACAACGACATCCCTGTCAATATCAGCTACCAAATAAGCATCAATTTCAATCCGTTGGGAAATGTAATTTCTAAACTGAAAAGATCTTCAAATTCAAGTGAAGTGAAAATTTATGCTGAAGGGATTTACGATTCTACTGATGGATGCCTGTGTATGGTAGGATGCCGAAATCTGGGCCCAGACAGTCAACAAGAAGCAGATGATTCTGTAGATTGTGAGATTCTTGTCAAATTTCAGTTCCCTCCAACAAACAAAAAGAATGCAGATGTTATCAAGGGCAGCATTGAAAGCACACGGAAAGAGTCCGATCCTCTTCATTTCGGAAGTTGGGGTTTGTCTTCAGATTCTATTACTGTAGTTGTAGCAGAGCGATCCATTTGGAGGATGGATGCGGAGATTACCTTGGTTCTGATATCCACCACACTTGCATGTGTATTTGTGGCATTACAACTCTTCCATGTGAAAAAACATCCCGACGTGCTTCCCTCCATTTCCACTTTCATGCTACTAATTCTAAGTCTGGGCTACATGATACCTCTTATGCTAAACTTGAAAGCCATGTTCGCGAATAACACCAACGTTCAACATGTGCTCCTTGGAGGCGGTGGATGGCTTGAAGCTAACGAGGAAATTGTAAGAGTAGTAACAATGGTAGCTTTTTTGTTGCAAATCCGTCTTCTGCAGCTAACATTGGCAGAAAGATCACAAAATGGAACCCGAAAGGAGCTCTGGCTCAAGGAAAGGAAATCTCTCTTTGTGGTTTTACCTGTATATGCCGCAGGGGCTTTAGCTGCTTTCCTTCTGCATAGACAGAATTGGACCAAAAGCCACAAAATTAGCGCCGCAACTTCCCATCCAGACCATTCAATTTTGGGTACTGCCTTGAAGTCTTATGCCGGTTTAGTGATGGATGGTTTTCTGCTACCTCAGATACTGCTCAACATGTTGTGTGAATCGAAGGAAAAGGCTCTGTCTGTTTGGTTCTACATCGGAACAACTTTTGTTCGAGGTCTGCCACATGCATATGATCTGTACAGGGCTCACAACTCTGCTCTTCGCCAATGGAATCAGTCGCACATTTATGCAGGTTCTGCTGTAGACTTTTACTCCACTGCTTGGGATGTCCTTATTCCGTTCGGAGGTCTGCTGTTTGCCGGCATCATTTCCTTGCAGCAGAAGTTTGGGGGTCTTTGCGTTCTTCCTCCAAAGTTGAGAGATTTTGTTGCATATGAGAAGGTTTCGACTGTCGCCGAAACTGAAGGGTAATGAGCAAAGTGACCCGGTGTAGCCCTCCGTTATCGGTGGAGGTTTCTGTTACAGTGAATGCAGACTGTAGAGAGGATTGGACATTCAACTATCAGCTGCAATGTTCTTTGTTTTGGAACTTTAAGCATGTAGGAGGAGTTCAGAAAAGAAAGAAAAGTTGTATGGTCTTGCTTTTTATTTCTTTGTTTCTTTTTTCGATTTTGTCGAACACCTCAGTTTTAATGCTTGGAATAAATTTTGAATGTTGGATATCTGCAGAATAGTGGCTGTAGTTACTATTCGAGGATTGGGGAAATTAAACCTAGGATCTCGGGTGTAGAATCGATGTTCTTAACTCTTTTAACTACATGCCCTCGAGCCGAGAATGTTATTTTTAACCGCTCTTCTCTGTGTGGCTGTAGTTACTATTCTAGCAGTGTTTTATCAGTGTAATAATAATAATGTGTATATATTAATAAAATAATAATAACAATGAGAATTGTTATTAGCATTCCAAAAATCTTATTCAACACTTCAAATTTTCTATATTAAGAAAGAAAAATACACTTGTGAGGAGTGTAAAATGAGATTTTTGGAGTTCCAATAATACTTCCATAATAATAATAATAATAATAATAATAATGTGTATAAAAATAAAAAGAGTTGACTCCATTTTACACTTCACGTTTTAGGCAATTTTTAAAAAGGAAAACTAATGAAAAGAGTTTCAAAACTTTGAGTTTTAACAATAAGTACAAAATAAAAGGTAAAGTGAATTGTACCAGAATTGACTTTTTAGTGTAAAAATATGATTTTTCATTAAAGTGAATAATACCGGAAACTTTTCGTTAAAATTATCTTTTTAAAATGGGCCGTAGGGTTTTAACTTTTACAAATTGTATCTTGGATTTTTGGAATCGCATCAATCTCTATCTTTAATCTGTTTTTCATTTTTGTTTTTATCTTGATGTCTTTCATCTTCTTGACGGTCTAATACTTTGTCAAATTGATGATGTAGTAAATTTGTTATGGTCATAATTTTTATTTATTTTTCTTTATGACAATATTTTCGTCTACTAGTATGTTTACAACCAATTGCATGAGGAGGAAATGAGTCGGACCGTTAAGGGTACGTTTAGATGAAGAATTTTCAAATTTCAAAGCGGTTTTGAGATAATTAATGGTGAATAAAATAGATCACAAAAAATTAAATAAGAGGAATTAGCAATGCACCACATGAGCATTATGAAAATATGTAAAAGAAATTTGTAAATGACATCTTCCAAACAGTCATTTGTAAATTCTTTTCATATGTCATCGTAATGGTCATATGTAGATGTATTTTTATGCAGTCTTATCTAACTTTTTGTTACTCATTTCTTCCTCACTTTGTTGTCTTGCCTCAGCAGGAAAAGTTTCTCACCAAACCATACTAAAAAAACAACTGACCCACACTAGCAAACGCGTCTGCGACAAAGTTAGCTTCATAGGAAATATCATAAAACAATATATCTGAAGTTTGCAATTCAACTTTTGAATATTATACACCAAGTGGAGGTGTGCAAGGGTGGAAATTGTCAAGTTTACAGCATCAATAATTATCTTTTATTTCTTCTAATTCCAAATTTTTTTCCATTAAAAATTGATTATATTGTTTATTTTTTCAACTTAACTGTCAAAGCATTTGTACTGTTCAATAAGAAAATGGGACATTCAACTGAAGCCAACTCCAATGCAGATTGCAGGCCGCACAGTGTCCTTCCTTACATAGCAGTAGGACCGCTAGAGGACTATCCCAATGCTAACGGTTGACCTGGTACTGCTAGTACTGCATAAAAATATCGTCTCCTTGATCATCTTTCTCGAACTCCACTTATCTAGTCCATGACCAAAGAATCCATGGCTATCTCCATGATCATCTTTTTACCAAATCTTCTTATGTTCGTCTTTCTTTTCTTCACCACCTCTTCTGCAGCTTCCTCTAAATACGATCACCAAACCGCTTACGCTGATCACTGTGCTTCATTTGTTCCCCAGTCTTTCCCGAAAGGTTTTGCGCTAGGACCGCCCTACGAACACCTCCTCACAGGTTACTACACCGGTGGCGGTGGCAGTGGCATTCTAAGTCCTATCTCATCGTACAATCATAGTGAAAACTCTGTTCAATTCTTTATCTTGAAGACTAGAGAAACTGATGTTCCAGGCTTGATCAAGATTCAAGGGACTTTACTATTTCCGGGTACATATTACTTTGTGGGGAATTCTTCCACCACAAGGAACAGTTTCTCATCTGGTTCAGTTCCTCGTCCAGGAAGATCAATACGTTTTAAACTTGGTGGGTTCTGGTTACAATCTTCCGGGCAGATTTGTATGGTTGGTTTCGGTTATGGTAACTCAAAAGGACGAAGTTATTTGCTCAACATTCATCCTATTTTTAAGCTCTACAACTTCATGAATTCCACTAGTGTCACGAGTTTGATTACCGGAACTTTGGGGAACATGATCAGTTCCAAGAATGATCCAGATTATTTTGAACCTATCTCTATTTTGATGCTTCCTGGTATGAACTACCAGTACACTCTGATTTCAAATAGTTCTGAAAACATAAGTACTTCTGGTGGAAGTGATAATTCCAATCCCACAAGTTCCTTGAATATAAAGAGATTTTGTTCTGTACTCTCAAGAGAAGTGCGAAATCATGCATTTGATCTCAAATACTCAAGCCGGTGCTCTCCTGCCAAGAACTGCACTCCTTTGATTGCATCTGGTTTGGCTCGTGTTGTTTCGTTGAAGCCTATCGAGTGTCTGAAAGATGCGAAAAGGTTGAGATTTCTGGTGGAATTTGTAGACAGCAGCAACGTCTGGTATCGAAGGCCATTCGATCCAAATACAACTTTGACTGGAGAAGGCTCATGGGATGCAGAGAAAAATCAGCTGTCTTGTGTTGCATGCCGATTCTTGGATGCAGCAGGTTCTTGGAACAATACTCATGTTGGTGATTGTTCAACAAGAATTACCTTGAGGTTTCCTGCAGTATGGACAATCGGAAAGACAAGTAGCATGGCAGGGGAGATTTGGAGCAACAAAAGTGTGACAGAGTCGGGTTACTTTGAGAAGATCATGTTCGAAAGTCCTCAGGATGACATTGGAAGGGTTCTGATTCCTGGTGTGAAGTATGAGTACACCAAAACCAAACAAGTAAGCAATTTGTGCCCAAAAAAGAAGACTGCTCATCGCAAGACCAACGTATACCCAAGTCCGTTTTCTTATGACATGAGTTTTGATATGTCAGCTAAGAATTCTAAACGACAAGCTGCGTGGGGTAATTCTGTCCCGATTTCTGTTGGCAATCAATTTTATCGGGCATATTGGTATTCGATGCAAGATGTGAATTCGATGGCAAGCACTGAATCTGAATCTGAATCTGTAGCTCCTGACAGCTCTCCTGTGAGATACAGCTTCAACCACAGCAATCCGTTCAATATTAGCTACAAAATAAGCACCCACCGGCTATCTGATGCAAAGTTTGGAAATACATCAGTTTTAAATGAAATGCAGATCTTTGCCGAAGGGATCTATGATGAAACCGAAGGCAGCCTGTGCATGATAGGCTGCAGAAAACTGGTCTCAAAGGGTCAGCAGCCAACAAATGATTCTGTAGATTGCGAAATTGCTGTCAATTTTCTGTTCCCTCCAACGTATCCAAACAACAATTCGGGATTCATCAAGGGCAGCATAAAAAGCACACGAGAAACGTCAGACCCTCTTCATTTTGAAACTTGGGTTTTAACCTCAGCTTCCTTCACCCTCTTCAAAGAAAGGCGGTCCATTTGGAGGATGGATGTGGAGATCATATTGGTTCTTATATCCACCACGCTGGCGTGCTTCTTTGTGGCACGACAACTCTTCCATGTGAAAAAGTATCCAGATGTTCTTCCCTCCATTTCCATTTTCATGCTACTAATTCTAAGTCTTGGCTACATGATACCACTTATGCTAAACTTCGAAGCCATATTCATGAGTAGCACCAACCGCCAAAATGTGTTCCTTGGAACCGGAGGATGGCTTGAAGTTAATGAGGTAATTGTGAGGGTGATAACAATGGTAGCGTTCTTGCTGCAAATCCGTCTTCTGCAGCTAACTTGGTCAGCAAGATCAAAAAATGGAAATCGCAACAAGCTCTGGCTCATGGAGAAAAAGACTCTCTTTGTGGCCTTACTACTATATGTTGCAGGGGCTTTCACAGCTTTGCTTCTGCATGAACATATTTGGAAGAAGAGCTATTATGCGGAGCACTCAATTTTTAGCATTGCCTTCAAATCTTATGCTGGTTTGGTTTTGGACGGCTTTTTGCTGCCTCAAATTGTGCTCAACATGTTCTGCAAATCAAAGGAAAATGCTCTGACCATTTCGTTCTATGTAGGAACTACTTTTGTTCGAGCGCTGCCACATGCATACGATCTTTACAGGGCTCGCAACTTTGCTCATCACCAATTTAATGAGTCGTACCTGTATGCAAGCCCTGCAGCAGATTTTTACTCCACTGCTTGTGATGTCATAATTCCTTTTGGGGGTTTAGTGTTTGCTGGTGTCATTTTCTTGCAGCAGAAGTTTGGGGGCCGTTGCATTCTCCCCCAAAAGTTGATAGAGTTGGGTGAATATGAGAAGGTCCCTACTGCTACTGAAGGGTAATTTAATCTTCTCTAGTTTTTACTAGTATGTATCAAGTTTTAGCTTTTCTTATTTTTATCTTGCTTTCCGTTTGTAATGTGTTGAACTTGTAAGCTATCATGTGTGCACTTCCATTTTTCTTTTCTTTAAGATAACAAACAATATGTGCTTCTGTCACGAGAGTGAAATCGGTGTGTGATAGGTTAATGCAAATATGTCTCGAGGATGCAATAAAACTTAGTACTCAATTGTTGTTCAACTGTGTTTCTGCACACATTCTAGAGATTTTCGATAAGTAAACAAAATGAAAACTAGCTAGAAAAATGTGAAAGACATGGATAGGAAAGAAGCGGAAGTTTAGAGTGCTTAGAATAATCTGCAGAATAGTTGCAGAACCAGCAGCATTCCATAGAGTTCTTTGCATCCTTTCTAAATAGTGGTAATTTTGTTCACTTTTTTCTCGCATTTATATAACGGTATTCTAATATACTCTTAACGGGAAAGAGATTTGAACCAACTGATCTAAAACCTATATATGCAGATATGATGCAATTTTAGACAACACAAAAGTTCCTCTAAATAATCATCAAAACTGTCCGTAACCAAAAAGATTGGGTAAAGGAGCTTGTACCTTCATTGGTTAAGAACTTTCTTCCTGTAGCAAGGTCTTTGTGTTCGTCTCTACCTCAGTGCAACCTTCCGGGCATGGCCAAAGGCTGTAGCTTCACTGACAAGGGCCCTCGTCCTCACCCCTCAGATTGCTTCCTGCAAAGTTCATTCACTTAGGCACTAATATAAATTTGTATTTACTATTTACACTATGGAACTGGCCTAAAAGGTTAAACCATAGATGCTACCTTTGTCATACTTCAGTGGTCACAAAGATGCTGTTGGAAACTGTTATTTTCAGTCCGTCTTTACATGTTCGAAAGTATCCGGAGCATAAGAATCTTGTTTTGAAGTGCATTTATCATTTCCTCAATTTTCCATTTCTTTGCCCCCATGACTGCAGCTTTGGTTTCACAGTCCTGGGTTTTGTTCTAGCTGTCTATGAATACCAAGTCATAAGTCCTTTTTCTCTTTGGTTTCACATTCCGGAGCATAACTCTTTCTCCCAATGTTCATGAAGAAAGCACCTGTCTTCTGCTACCACCTCTTTAAAGCTGTGGTACTCATTGCCGAAGCTTCTCATGTTCTTCGTTTTTGCCGCCTTTTCCTTTTATCCACCACATTCTAATAGCTTCTCTCATCCTGTTTCATCGCCTCCTCCACCTTATGATCACATCTCATATTCTGTTCATTGCCATTCAATTGTTCCCGGGTCATGGAGAAGAAGGCGTTCGTTGTGGCTTTACTAGTATATACTGTAGGGGCGTTAGCTGCTTCGCTACTGATGGACTGGAGGAATTTTGGCACAGTTTCAGATTATCAAAATCTTCCCTGCCTTGAAATCATATGCTGGCTTGGTTTCGGATGGCTTTTTGCTGTCTCAAATTCTGCTCGACATGTTCTGCAATTCCAACCAAAAGGCTCGCTCAGTTTCATCCTACATTGGAAAGACTTTCATTCGAGTGCTCCCGCACGCATACGATCTTTACAGGGCTCGAAGTCACCGCTTTTCTCACCAGAAATTCTTACATTTATGCAAGTCCCACAGCAGATTTGTACTCCTTTGCTTGGGATGTAATTATACCTGGTGGAGGTCTACTGCCTGCCGGCATCATTACTTGAAGCAGAAGTTTGGCGGTCGTTTAATTCTTCCTCAAAAGTTGAGATCGTTGTCTGAATATGAGGTCCCCACAGTTACTGAAGTGTAATTGCCAAAGTGATGTACCTTCAATCCGCAGACGTTTTTCGAAGGCGTTTAGAAGGCAACAAAGAACAATTTATGTACTTCCCTCTCGGACGAGGTCCTCGGATTTGCATCGGACAAAGCTTCGCAATGGTGGAAGAAAAACTTCGCAAGGATGCAAGACAATTTCAATAATTTCACAAGAGATTTGTAGTACTGCATAATTGCTCTAATTTCAATAATTTCTTTCAAATGTATCTCAAATGCAACAACAAATATTCTAAACTTGTATAAAGGCACCCGTTTTCCCTCTCGGTTTCGCCTAACACTTGAATATATACAGGTAGAACACAAAAATTCAAGGACTAGGATAAGTACTGGGAGGCAGGATTTAGCACCTTACAAAAAGATTCTCAAATTCCATCAAGAAGCAAAGATTGCGAAAGTAAAATTATACATCTGAGCTATTTGACTGGGGTCCTTGGGTGAGTCTTTGCATCTCGTTTTGGTCATTTAGAGTTTCGATCAGAAGTGGCGGAGCATACTGGGCAGTCCCTTGGTGCTCTTCAGAATCCTGGCAGAATGAAAGAATGATGGTATCGATTGACATCTCCACCACAGCAAAGAAAAGAGTGGCAACCACATAACCGAGAGCCCAGCAAACCTGCACAAACATATAAGAGCAGATTAATGACGGAACATACTCTACCCGACCATAGTGCTCTGGTTCATGTCATTCAACATAGACTAGGGGAATAATACAAGGGAAGCTTCGTCGGTGAAAGAGGTTTGTTTATCCACTTTCCTTCATTTCAGTAGTTTCATCAGATAATGAAAAATAGTCACAAAACGCACCATCTTAGATCATAAACATACCAACACAGGAAACAGTGGAGAAGTGATCTTGTTGTGGCCAGATTTGTATTTGTGGGTATCCAACATAAGGAAAGCAAAAAGGGCTGTTGAGAGGCTGACACATAATTTTCCAAGGAATAGGATGATGTCTCCGATCACGTTCACCTTCCCTATCCGAAGAATGTTACTAATGATCAAATCTGTTGCGATTGCAGAAGCCTTGCAGAAGCTTTTCCCCGTTATAGCAATCTGCAACAGTAACAAGCATATTTTCAAGAAACAAATCAGATGAACAAACCATATAGAATAAAAGGTGTTCAAACTCAGCCACCGGGATTTGAGAACCAAAAACTAATAAATAAACACATAAAAAGAGGAAAGTAAAGGACTACATTAGTGTTTAGCACTAATGTAGCACTATAGCCTGTAGGTTACAACAAAATGAGTGAGGTCTACTTGGTAGCCTTCATGTTCCTTCTCGCTTCTTTATTCTTTCAAGCTGCTCAGAGTTTTTACTTCATTTTTTACCCTTTCCAACTACGTGTGGCCAAGAATCAGTTATGTTAAACTACACACGAGTTCCATAATGGCATATAACTCACACTACAACCCAGACATTGTGTACTCAAAACAAGCTTCAGACTTGAGAACAATGTTGGGGATACATTATCCAATCATGAAAAAATCTTCAGGAATGAATGTCCCAAGTAGTTCCATAGGCACTGCTTCTAGCATCTTGGTCAAACAGGAAACCGGTCGAGGAATTTGACAATCTTCTCAAGCCAACAAATAAGTTCCTCTTCCATGCAGTCGCCATATCAGGATGAATGAATATGAACAAAAACATGATTAACTCTATATATGAAAATATGAAGGGTACTAGTTATGTCAAATTACCATAATGTAGGCATTGCGATTGACTGATTTGATTGTCCACTCAATACACCTCAGGAAAAATCTAGAAGTATGGTACACGGCCTTTCCAAACCAGTTATCGGGTGTGGTTCCAGCCACTTTTAGCCTGCGACGAATTGACTCAAGCATAAAGCGGATTGATTCCACAAATGACACTATCAGGGAGCCGAGAGCAACCGACCCAAGGTTATAGCGTGCAAGGCGTTTCATGGAGGCAAAGACTGGAAGAAATGGAATTTCTGGCTGCATTGAAGAAGATAATGAGAAATTGAAGGAAAAAAAAACTAGCACATGGTGAAATAAAAAACTAGTCCTCAGAAAGAAAATCTTGGGTAACTTGATTTGGAAGTTACAAAACAAGACCCAAAATATTCAGACTCCAGCAGATATTACCTATGTTTGGGCTGACAGTTCCCGAACATAAATTCAACATATAAGCACATGCAGACATAGACACGCATGTCACCTAACGATGGAACCTTATGTTTTATGAAATAAGAATATTACTAAACTATTTGATGCTATAATATAAACCTAGCCTTCAACACTAAGTCTCATGTTTATATACCTATATTGTTCATTCTTGCAATCCAAATACAATGATGAAATCCAGACCTATAACAGAGACCTACGAGCAACTTTGTGGTAACCTATGCATACAGCTTAGTAACTTACTGAAGTTTCACCACGAGCCCAATAATAAGAAGCAACAGCACCCGCAATAACTGTGGAAGAGCATGCTATGAAAAACTGGGTAGCCCAGTAACCCCCAAATAGGTGGAAAAGGATGGCAACTCCAATATGAGGAGTGTAATGAATGCTATAACCACAACAACGATCACAGTTCACTCGTTTTGACACAAGATCATAAGCACAGCAGTTCAAATTGCAGTCATTCTGGACAACCTGACCAGAACTGAACAGATGGAAAGCAGCTGAAAACCAGAACATGTAGAAAATTGCAAGGATGGTATATGGAATGACTGGGAATATTATGAGCGCCTGAGCTTCTCCTATGACCTTTGCAGCAACCTGCATACAGATTAATGTGTAGAGCCATTAAAGTTAAGTAAAAACTTCTGATGAATACTATTCGGTATTATGTTAATCTAAGTTGTGAGTGCTGGTATTCCCAGATGTGGAAGGGTGCGCATGTTGGGTGTGCTCCTGGCGACACCAGCACTTGCTTAGGTGAAAGTTTGGTAATAATATATGCACAAATGATATGTAATTACTTCACTTTCTTAAATAATCAGCATTCTTCCAGAAATTAATAAAGTCTTTTTGTAATATGGGAAACAAGGCTCAACCGAACCTCTGATGCATATTAGCTACTCTTAGTTCTGCTTTATACAAATTCCTGACCATCATAACTTTTCTTTATTTGACAACTTGAACAAGTTCAAGACATCAAAAGATAAATATGGATTTGTGGAAAATTCTTTGGGCTTCCAGTGTT